CAAAAATACCTAAAACCCAAACCTTCCAGTTGATTCCGACTCACAGCGCCCCCAGAGGACACAGTGGAACCGCCCACAGGGTTTCAAAGACTGTCATGTTTACAGACACCAGCTGCCACATCTCTCTCCCGAAGAACTGCTGGGCGTTCAAACTGCTGACCTTTGGACTAACTACTGCACCACCAGGGCTCCTATACCAACCCAAACCAAACTCACTGCCATAGAGTCAGGTCCGACTCATATCAACCTCTCCTTGGGTTTCCAAGGCGGTATCACTACAGAAGTAGATTGCCCAACCTTCCTTCCGGGCAGTGGCTGAGTGGCTGGTAGGTTTGAACCGCCAGCCTTCTGGTTAGCAGTCAGATGCCTCAGGCACTATGCTATCAGAGCTCTAGGGCTCCTAGCAGGAGTGAATACACAGTGTTTGTTGGACAAATGTGTGACCTCCACCTCCACACAGTCCCCATGTTCCTGCTGACCCTGCTTGCCAAGGGGGCAAAACCATCCTGTGTCTTCCCAGCTCCCAGTGCCAGGCTCCCGTGGGGGCTCTGTAAACACCCAGGGGAGCAAGGTGACGACTGTGGGCCCCTGGTCCTCTCGTTCCTCCCAGGGAGGCCTCGTTGGGTGAGGTGGAGGGTCCGGATGTGGGGGCAGAGCTGAGTGCCGCACTGAGCGCACGGGAGGCTCTCAGAAGGACCCGTGGCCCCAGGAGGGGCCTGTGGTGGGCTGGAGACCTGAGGCCTCTCCAGGGAGAGCCAGTGTGACCCCCGTTCCTGGGACACCCATAAGAGGTGGCTCGTGCTTCGGCTGGCCCTGAGCTGACCCCGGGCTGACCCCTGCCATTGCTCTTGCCCCCGAGTCCCTGCCCCCACCGGTTAATCTAAGACAAATAGGCCTATCAGGCTGCTGGCCGGGCCCAGTGATAACATAAAATCGCCGAAATGATTTTTCCCACCCACACACGCTGCACTGGTGTGGGGGGGCCCTCGGCCGCCGTATCAGCCCATCTCCCCGCTGTCCATCAGGATGGGCCGCCCTGCCTCAGACGCCCGCCCGCAGCCCGATAACCAGCCTTGAGGTTTGCATGGAGACTCCGGGCCAGGAGATTACTCAGCTGGGGCCCAGATAACAGCCCACTGCGCTCCCACCCGGCCTGAAGCCTCCCAGCTGCCAGCGGCTGGACCCCGGTGGGGGGCTGGACTCCCAGTGCTCCTCCTGGCCCCAAGTATCACCCCCAAGTGACCAAAGTGACCAAAGGCCCCACCTAAAACCCTTCAGCGTCTCCATTTTACAGAGGCATCTCTGTGCAGTGAGTGGGTGCCCGCAGCCCTGCCCATCCATGCCTGCCTGCCTCTCCTCACCCTGTACTGCCCCATGCCACAGGGCCCTTGCGCCTGCCAGCCCCTGACTTGTGTTCACCCGGCCCCTCTCGCGTTTGTCCTTTAGGCCTCCGAGTGAGGATGGGGACTCCTGCCGCTGCCCCCTCTCTCAGGCCTGGCCCCTCCTGACCTGTTGGAGAAAGAAAAGCACACCCCATGTCTGGCCAATTCGGTTTCATTTCATAAACAGTGGCTGCCAGGAAAGAGTCCCAGGCCCTGAGACCCTTACGGGTGAAGGGGACCCCATCCTGGAGCCCCAAGGATCAAACAGCCAGGCCAGCAGCAAGAGGTGTGCTCTTGGGAAGATGGGGTGGGCTGAAGTGAAGTCTAGCGACCCCCTTACCCTGAACAAACACAGCCCCATCCACTCAAGTCCCAGCTCCCTGTCCACTATGGGCTGTGTGACCTCGGCCACGCTGCTCTACCTTGCTGTGCCTGACTTTCCGGAACGGTAAACCGGGGTTGTCGTGGGGCTGTCAGCAGAATCACGAGAGACACTAGGTGTGAAGGGCCAGATGCAGTTGTATGTGACCATCCTCAAGACAAGCGACTCCATCTGCTCCAAGCACACACGCTGGCCCGCCAGGCCTCCGCCTGCCGCGTCCGCCCCAGGCACGCACGCCGGCCCGCCATTCCACTCCACCTGCTGTGTTGCCCCCAGGCCTGGGTCCTACCCCCCTGACCAGGCACCCTGGGACTTTGTGCCTTGGCCTGAGGCTAGGCTGAATCCCCAGGAGCTGCAGGACTGGGGAGCCCTGACTCGGTCTCAGGAAACTCCAGCCCCGTCCCCACCCAAAGGCCTGGCTTCTGGGGAGCAGCTCCCACTTAGCCCCTGGAGTGGGGGTACACAGATCCTGCTCCGGCATGGGGATGGGCCCCAGGAGGGTCTCAGTGTGGCCACACCTGCCCAGGACAGGGCACAGGGTCGGCACAGGACCCCCGGGCTCAGTGCCGCGACCCTGGCCTGGTCCTCTGCGTCCCGATGCTGGCCACTAGGCTGCCCCACTTTCCTCTCTGGACCTCGGAGCCCATACCCTCTGAGAGTTTAGATGCCACCAAGCCGGGGATTACAGATTGTAGCTATCTGCCATTTGCATATCAGAATTTTAAACAGGCAGCCCCTCTAGCGAACAAGGTCACTGCAAAGATAAAAGTACTGTCTTTCCCTCCTGCCGCCCACCCTCTCCTCCCTTCCTACCCGGGTGGGCGGACTGAGGGCAGGGCACAGAAGGGCTGGCAGGGCAGTGATGGCCTCGGTGGTCTTGGTGTGGCAAGTGGATTCCAGGCCCCTGGCCCTGGGTCTGTGGCCCGGGCAGGCCCACCCCGACGGGCTGTGACGGCCCGCTCCACCCCATGGACAGACCAGGGCACCTGTCTTGAGTACTCTGGCCCTGGATTCCATCCTCACAGCAGCCTGGAGAGGCGGCTGCCCTCCTTAGCCCCGTTCACAGATGGGGAAACTGAGGGCCAGAGAGGCCAGCAGCCCGCCCTTGGTCGCCCCGCAGTTGGGCCCCTGGTCTGACTCCTCTCTCTGGGGGCAGCTTGGGGCATTCACTTTTGAAGCAGCCGCACTTAGAGCTATGTTGCCAGAAGCTGATAGTCGCACAACCTTTGAAAATGCATATGGACCAAGCCGGTGGAATGTCTGGGGTCACCAGGCATAGGGCAGGGCTGGGGGAGCTGGCATGTGGGCACTGTGGGGCCGAGAACTGATGGGTACCCCAGGGCTCCTAGCCCTGCACAGCTCCCCTCCCCCAGAGAGGAGGCTCCATGGTGCCCACAGGCTGTCCCCGTGAGCTGGGGCCTCGGTGGAGAGGCAGAGGGGTGGGGGTGGACCAGAGAACAGAAGAGACACAGAGAAGGAAGGGGGAGAAGGGAGAGAGAGGCCAGCACTGGGGAGCGGGGGGCAGCAGAGTACCCGAGACATTCGAGGTGAAGGGGACAAGCCCCTGGTCACCAGCCACTCCCTCGGGGCCACTGACCCTGCCAGACTCCTCAAGGTCTGACGTCCCCACTGGCTGGGCGGCCCTTTGAGATAAGCGCCCACGGGCCCGGACGGTGATAGGGGCCTGTGTGGTTCTGATAGGCAGCGTGGCGGTTGGCGGGTAGCTATCGGGCCATCGTGCCCACGGCACAGAAATCCCTATCTCTGGGTGCTGGGGGGGCCGGGGAGCCTCCCGGTCCAGGATACAAATAGCGCAGGAAGCCGCAGTGTGAGCCCTGACACCAAACCACGGCCCAGTGCCTGCCTTGGGGCTGGGCCTTTCCGGTGCCGGTAGGCTGGGTCAGGCCCAGGCCCCGAGGGGCTGCACTTCCCCATCTGTCAAACGGGGTGATGGGGCCACCTGGAACAGCATCCCACCCCCCGTCGCCTGCCGTGGTGAGTGGCCTCGCTCACTGCTGGGGTCCACCCTCACTGCGCTCTGTAGCAGACGGCCGTTCAGACACCACGTGGCGGGTGGCACGTCCTTCCCCACTCACTGCCTCAGCCCCTCCTTGAGGCAGGGCTCCCAGGGTGAGGATGCCAGCCTGCTTCCCCGGACAGCCGTCCTGCCTGGTGGCTGCCACCTCAGCTCCCCACCTCACCTGCCCAAGGCAGGGCGTGAACTCGGGTCAGGCCCTCCTCTCTGGGACCCCCCGCCAGTCACGGGGTTGGGCTGTGCTAAGCCAGTGAGGACCACATGGCATCTGGGCCATCACGTCCCCTTTGGGTGCCATGACAGACATCACTAGTCAATCCCGGCACTCTCAGAACGAGCAGCTGGCCACTGGAATAGAAGCTGGCTGGAGCCCAACTCTGACCCCTTCCCATCTTGGCCCCAGCAGGTGAGGCCTGTGCCCCGTGTTCCTCTCCACCATCATGGGCCTGGTTTGTTACAACACACATGCTCCTGGAGGGCTGTATGCTCAGTACACACCCCATAGGTGCACCACACACTGGCCCAGTGCCCGGCCTCCAGGGTGGACCCTCATGCCAGCTCAGGCTCAGTGAGAGAGTTACTTATTAATTACGGTGATGAAATAATGGGCTGAGCCAGCCAGGGGTGGAAGGTGTCAAATCCTGAACAGGCAGCTGTGGATTGGACAGAATGTGAGGTCCAGAGCCCAGCTGTGACTGGGCCAGAGGGGGCGACAGGCAGAGACAGAACCACTGTCAGAGAACCCACTGTGGCCAGAGCTGGCCGTTTGGAGCCAACTCCCACCTCCCTCAGATGCGGCTGAAGCCCCTGGGGTGGGACATCCTCTCTCCCGGCACGGGCCTGGCCCTTTCCCAGGGTCTCTGCCACGTGTCTCCAAGTCCCCGGCATGTGGGCAGCAGGGCTGGTGCTGGGCACCGCCCCCTGCCGTTGCCTTTGTTCCCGCCACCGGGTCTGCTGCAGGGCCTGCCTGCTCTCACCCAGCCCTGTGCACGCCTGGCTGGCTCCATGCTCCGAACTTAGTGCAGGTGCCTCCCAGGACTAGCTGCAGAGACGCCACTGGCCTCCCAGGCCCACTGGACTCCGGGTCAGGCAGGGGCCTGGGCCCAGTGGGCAGCTATCAGCATCCCTGCTGGCCAGGCCTGCCCTGTGGCCCGGTTCCCGGACCCCCAGAACACAGCCACCGCCCGGCCTGTGAGGTTACCTGGCCCGCTCCAGGTACTGCATGACTCCTCGACGGGCTGCGTCTCCGGCTCCTGCCCCGCCATTTCCTCGGGGCCTCTTGGGGGCGTAGGGGGCGGCTGCAGTGGTAGAGGCGGAGGTGACTCCGTGTCTGCATAGAGAAAACACCATCACGTCCCTCCTGCCCTTGGCATTGAGCTGTCCGCTCCAGGCCACCCAGGAGGGACAGAGGCCCAGTGTGGTGGCCACCCCTCAGCCCCCTGGCTCTTGGCCCTAGCTCATTCTAACGGGGGTGTCAGACATCACAGTGTTCCTCTTAGCTTTTCAGCACCCCCATTCCTAATTAATTGCAGTGGCAGTAATTGTTATTTTAGCTGCTGTTAATGATTAGAGGTCACGGACGGCCTGTGTGCACACCCAACCGGGCAGCCACACGCAGACCTCGGTTCCCGCGTTTCCTCCGTCCCCCACAGGCCCCGCATCCAATTCCAGCCCAAAGGGCATATTTGCCTTCCCAGCCAGGCCTGATAACCACCAGGCCCCTGATCGATGTGCTCCCATAAAGCCCCCCCTTGGTGACGTCACGCGCCCAGCAGACTATTAATACCAGCGATAACAGCTGTGATTAACATCAAATAAATCAATCACACGGTATAAAAGTCCTATTATTTTTGGCCATAAATCAAAGTGGCTGGCACTCGCGGCCCAGCCACTGCGCGGGAGCCGAGCCGGTCCACCCAAGCGGCAGAGACTGCTCCCGCGAGGCCTTATCGCGCCCATCGCCACGTTATCACCAGCGGCCTGTGCCAGGTACAGCCCCGGCTGTTTTTCCAGCTCCCTCTTGGCTCGCCCCACCCCCGCGGAGCCCCGCTCCCAAATCCGATGATAAGAGGCCTGGGCTCCGGGGTCAAAGTCGACCAGCCCGGAGCCCTCGCCCTCTGGCAGGTGTCGGCAGCCCTCCCACCCGCAGCCCTCCCACCGGCAGCCCTCCCACCAGCTCTAACGAAGATGGAAGGTGATAAGGACCATGGCCTCGGGGAAACCAAGGCTCAGAATGTGGCTGGGTGCTGATGTGATGACAAAGGGAACAGGAACAGTCCTTGCTGTCATCTGACCAGGCTGCCTGTGTGGGAGGGGCCCCCCCAGAGCGGATGGGAGTGTCGGTCTTGGGTTCCAGTCCTGCTGGCCCTGCCTCACTCTCTGTGTGGCCTTGGTGACCCCGTCGGTCCTGGCTGCCGGCCAAGGCTGCAGGGACCAGCACAGTCTCAGCTTACCTAACTAGCTAGGTAAGCACGGGCTTTCTGGAGCTTACTTACTCATCTGCAGTGAGCAGCTCCCCGTGTTTTCACCACCTCAGAGATTCTGTTTCTAGGTGTGGCTGGCATCTCTCTCCCCCAGCCCCTCAGCGCGCTCCCCAGAATCAAAGCCTCTTTCTAAATCTGCGATCCCTGACAGGGACGGAGTATCCAGGGAGCAAGGCAAGCACAGGCTTACTTGTGCTTACTCATTCATCTGTCATGAACAGTTTCACATGTTTTTTCACCACATCGTTCACTATGTAAGTAAGTTAGGACAAGTAAGCCCGTGCTTACCTTGTCTACTGGGTAATCCGCCCCGGCCAGAAGGGGGTGTACAAGGAAGAAGGCCCTGGGCCTGGGGCAGCCCCAGTGGGGACCTGAAGTTCTCAGTCTCCGGGGGTGCTGGGGGTGGAGGCGTTCACCATGAGGACACACAGCCATCAGGGGTCAAAGTCGGTCTGGGATGTCCTGCCTCCTCAGCCCCAGGCTCCTCGGTCTGCCCTGCAGATGGCTTCGGCCGCCTATCTGATGGGCCCCAGGGCCTTTGCATGTGCTGGGGCCTCAGCCAGATGTGCCTTCCCATGGGTGTGGCACAGTGGCTCCCACAGCCTTCCAGGCCTGCAGTGCCATATCTCAGAGAGGTGCCCCCATTGCCGTCTCCCTCTCACTGACCAACAAACAGCTGTCTGTGCTTGCGTCTCCCTCTCGGACATGGTGGGGTAGTTTGGACTCTGGACACTGAGGGTGTGGAATGGGCGTGAGGCTCCAGCAGGCTAACCGGCCAGGGACCCCTGCCCCACTGTCCTTCAGGGGTCGGTGTCCCCATCAGGAAACGGGGTGCTGACCTCCCTGGCTCCCTTGTCTCGGTGAGCCCTCCCCTGGGGTCTTGGGCACAGCTGACAGGAGGGCTGGCCCAGCAGTGAGGCCCCGAGGTTAATTCACTCCTAAGGGCTCCATTCTGCTTCCAAGGCCTGTTTTCACCTCAGGAAATGCCTCCTTGGAAAACTGGCAGCAGGAGGGCCCAAGGTTTCAAGGTGCCCTGGAGGGGGACAAGAAGCAGGGTGGGAAGGAAGGCCAGCTGGCCTCTAGGTTGGCCCAGGCGGGCGCAGGTCACAGACCTGGGCTCCAGCCAGGTCCTTGCTACCACATCTTAATGGGAGGAGCTGGTAGGGACGGTGTCCAGCAGGCCCTGGGGCTGCACAGAGCCCAAAGTAGGCACCCTGCTCCCCAGAACGGCCTCACTATCCTGTTCCATAAAGGGTAACTGAGGCTGGGGGCGTGGCCTTCCTGAGGTCACACAGTGGCCCGTGTGACTACCTGTCTAACCCCGAGCTAGACTCTCCCCTTTGGGCCTTGGTTTCCCCATCGGAAGGGCTGGATTTGCAAGACCCACATGTTGAAGGGGGGTATCCCTCCTCTGTCCAGCTACTCCTAGGACCCCTCTAGAGGCCCTGGGGCAACAGGCGTCTGGGGGAGATGCCCAGCCTCTCCTGGACCCCACCAGGGGTGGGGGAAAGGAAGGGAAGAGCCGTCCACACGTGCCTGACTCACCTCCACCAGCAGGGCTCAGGGGCTCGGGCTCTCCCGCGGGCTTGGGTGCTGTGGCCTCACTCTCTGAGAGGCCTGCGTCCACAGCCTGAACCTCCTCTCCGGCTTCCATATCTCCAAGGGAACCTGTGGACACAGTCAGGGGTGCTGTGTGAGGGGCTGTGGGCCACACCCACCCAGCTGTGGACCCCCTCGCAGCACCCTGGAAGGCAGACATGAGGCAGGACTCAAGACGTGGAGGGCCCACCCCAGTTCTCCTTCCTGGTGCCCTCACCCTTCTCCTTTGCTGGGTCTGGCTGGGGATGAGAGGAGGGTTGGCACCTGGTAGGGAGGTGGGTTGGCACCTGGTAGGGAGGTGGGTGCCTGTGGAGGGGCCTATGGATGCCCTTGACCGCCTGCCCAGTGAACAACAACATGCAGCTGGTGCCTCCTCACACCAGCTCCCACGCACAGAGGCCGGTGCCCTGTGCAGACCCTAGCCTGGCCCCGCTGGGGTCCCTCTCCCAGTCTCCGTCCAGAGAGCCCAACAGCTGGGCCAGGTCAGCCCAAGGCCATGTCTGAGGGACAGACGTGCCCAGGAACTGTGACCAACCAGAGAATCTGTGACCCAGTTTCCAGCTGACTTTCAAAATCTAGCGATTCACACAGAGCAAACCAAACCAAACCACACCCACTGCCGTGGAGTCCATTCTGACCCACAGCGCCCCTAGAGGACAGAGTGGAACTGCCCACAGGGTCTCCAAGGCTGTCAGTCTTCACAGAAGCAAACCTCCTGTAGAGAGGCTGGTGGGTTTGAACCGTGCTGACCTTTAGGTTAGCAGCTGAGTGCTTAACCACTGCGCCACTAGGGCTCCTTCACATAGAGCAGGGAGGTGGAGAATTTGCTTTTTCATATGCTTGGATTCCGGCCCCAGCAGCTCTGGTGGTGTAGTGCCTAAGGCATCTGACTGTTAACCCCAGCATCAATGGTGCAATGCCCCCAGCCGCTCTGCAAAGGAAGATGAGGTAATCTACTTCCATAAAGATTTACTGCCTTGGAGACCCAAGGAGGGTCACTGTGGGTCTGGATTTCAGCCCACCTCTCTGAATAAGAAGTTCTGGTGGTACCATGGTTAAAGCACTCAGCTGCCAACCAAAAGGTCGGTGGTTCAAATCCAACAGCCACCCAACAGGAGGAAAGACCTGACAATCTGTTTCCATAAAGATTGACTGACAGCCTCAGATACGCTGTGGGCAGTTCCACTCTGTCCTCTAGGGGTGCTGTGGGTCAGAATGGACTCCATGGCAGTGGGTGTGGTTTGGGCTTTGCTTCTGTGAAGACTGACAGCCTTGGAGACCCTGTGGGCAGTTCCACTCTGTCCTCTAGGGGTGCTGTGGGTCAGAATGGACTCCATGGCAGTGGGTGTGGTTTGGGCTTTGCTTCTGTGAAGACTGACAGCCTTGGAGACCCTGTGGGCAGTTCCACTCTGTCCTCTAGGGGTGCTGTGGGTCAGAATGGACTCCACGGCAGTGGGTGTGGTTTGGGCTTTGCTTCTGTGAAGACTGACAGCCTTGGAGACCCTGTGGGCAGTTCCACTCTGTCCTCTAGGGGCGCTGTGGGTCGGAATCAACTCCATGGCACTGAGTGGGTTTTCTCATCACAGGTGAACACAGGTCAGGCCTGACATCTGAGTCCGGACAATGTCCAGGAGTCAGGGAGACTCCTAAGCCAGCAGGGTGACAGATGCTCACAGAATAGGAAGTGGGCCCCACACTCAAAACCATGACAAATTATAAAAAAGCATCAAATCAGAGAGGGTGCGGAAGAGGCCAAGACAGTGTTGGCATGAGGCACGCTCTGGGCAGAGGGACCAGCATGTGCAAAGGCCCAGAGACAGGGTAGAGCCGTGTGGTGGAGGGAGGGAAGGCGGCTGTGGGACCGAGCTGAGTGAATGGGGGTGTTCGGTGGGAGTTGAGGCCACAGGAGGGCAGAGGCCAGGCTGACGCGACCTCAGCACCATGGAGAGGAACTCATTGGAAGCGAGTGGTGCTGGGCAGCCACGGGCATGAGCTTCACCCGCTTAGGACACCTCAGACCTGTAATCACAGGAGGGTGGGTGGCTACCCTCAGGAGCCAGGGACTGGCCAAGCCCACATGCAGACACTGACGGCAGACTTGTGCCCCTGGGACAGGCGTGCGGCCTGATCCCCCACGACCTCCCTTGGCACTTGCCGGGGCCAGGAAAGAGGAGGGCTGAGGTGGAGCTCTGTGGTCAGCCCCGAGTGGGCCTGCCTCTCCACCCAGCCTCAGCGGGAGCACAGGGCCCTGTGGCCAGCTTCCGGAGGCCACCCTGTGGCCCTGGGTGAGCTGTGAAGACTGGGTGGCCTCCCGGCCCCTCTTGCTGACCAGCCTTGGATCGTCTGCTTGGATAAATGAGTACAAGCCACTGGTTTCCAGGGACCCAGGGCGGCTGGGCTGATGCTGGGCTCAGCGAAGACACGCCCCTCCCACACAGCCCTCCCACACCTGCCAGCCCCCAGGAGGGCAGCCTGACCCACGGTGACCACCCAGGTGGGTTGAACCACCCAGCAAGCAGCCAGTTCCTGGAGCTGAAGCCGTCACACTGAGCGTGGAGAAAGGGGCTGCTGGGCTGCATGGCAATTTACTCAAACGCAGCTAATTCCAGCTCCAGCGCAATTAGAGCGACTCCGATAATAACTAGTGATTGCACCCACGCCACAAATGGGGCAGCGAATTTGCTTCCAGCCTGCCTCAGCCTCACAGCAAGTTCACTCGCCGCAGCCCCATCTGGAGGCATCCGGGTCCCCATGACCGGGCTCAGGGAGGGAGGTTCCTCCGATGGCCTGGGGCTTCCCCGGCGATGCTGCTGCTTCTGCGGTGCCCTGTGCCGGAGACCCCTGCCCCGTCTCTCTGGGGAGCCCCGCCCAGGCTCTGTCCAGAGACCCTGGCAGGCCAGCCAGGCCACCCCAAGGCCAGGCCAGTGAACGGGCGCTCGCTGTGTCCTAGCTATGTGACCTCAGGCAAGTCACTGTCTTCTCTGTGCCCCCGGGGGACAAACGGAGACATGGGAGGAGGTGTGCTGTTGGCCCAACCAGACGGCTGCCCTGGGCTTGGCACAGTGTGTTCAGTGGGCAGGAGCCATGGGCCATGAACCGCCCAGCAGGGCCGGGAAACAAGGGCAGGGCTCGGGCTCAGTATTAAGCACGTACCGGGCTCAGGGCTCAGTGTTTTACTACCGCTTCTCCCAGAGCCCAGGGAGGTTGTCTTCGCATCGCCCCTTCGGATGGGGAAAGTGAGGCTGAGCTGGTGGTCCCAGTACACGGGCAGGTGGGAAAGAGTGGGCAGGAGAGAGGTGCAGCCCTGGAGCCGGATGGGTGAGCAGGGGAAGGACTCCGAGGGCAGTGGGAGGGGCAACTGGGTGTCCAGGGGTGGAGGGGGTGGGGTTGAGGGGGAGGCAGGCCCTGAACCTCCATCGCCACCACCCCTAATCTCCCAGCACCATCAGCAGGAAGGCCTGAGCCACACCCACTTCGTAGAAGAGTGAACTGAGGTCCAGGGAAGGGAGCTGACTTGCTGGCATCAGGGCACAGGACCAGGGCAGGGGGACAGAAAGGCAGAGGACCAACTGCAGAGCCCCGTCCCTGACGACTCTTCCGGACACTATACCCTCCCTCTGCCCTGGGCCGGGCTGCACCCACGCGGCAGGGCTGTCCGTGGGGGCGAGGGGAGTCTCCAGCCGGTCTGGGCAGAGCTGGGCGCAGCCCTCACGGTGCCCCGAGCCCCTCAGTTATCAGGGTGAGCAGACACTCCGAGCGCTGATCCGTCTCCTGCTCATTAAGCCAGACGCCAAAATGGAAATGAAAACATAATAGCTGTTTGATTGGGGGTGAGATAATTTGCATATTGGCTGTGCGCTGATAGCAGGATTTCATCAAGTCGCTTTTTTCATGCTTTAAAACTGAATTACGAGGCGGCTCTGTGGGGCGGGGGACCCTCACACCCTCAGACCCTCCAGTCTGGTGGTCAGGAGGCACTGGGGGGCCCCCTCGTCCTCCTCCTTCTGACCCCCCCCCGAATAGCTGGCCACTGGTGGAGGGGGCAGTGCCCCAGCTGTAGTGCCCGGAGGCCAGGCTGACCAGGGCTTCAGTCGGGTCCACCACTGTTCACTCATTCACTTATTCATTCATTCATTCACCCATCCCCCAGGTTCCTCACTCCCTCCCTCACCCACTCATCAAATCTTCATGGAACCCTCTCCATGCCCAGACCGGCACTGGGCACTGGGGGTCCAGCAGTGATCAAGATGCCCCCCAAGAAAGTAGAAATACAGGTGCAGCCATTGCCTGGAAGGGGAGGTGAAAAGCAGAGTCAGGGAAGGCTTCCTGGAGGAGGTGACCAGTGAGTGGAGATCTGGATGGGGAGAGCAGGGACTGCGGGAACGGGGCCAGGAAAAGCCAGCAGAGCCACATGGCTGCGGGCAGCCACTTTCCCCGAGTCTCATCTCCTCACCAGACGTGGGTGTGTGGGTGGCAATCACTCAGGTGCCATGGGCAGGGAGTACAGCCGGCAGGCGGCTCGCTCTTACAGCTGTGCTGACTGTCCCCACTCTCCAGGGAGCTCCCCCGGACACAGGGCAGAGAGGGGCACTGGGCGGGGGGCAGGGGAGGAGTGGTGGGGGGCCCGGTGGCGAGGGGCGGAGAATAGGGGAGGGGGAAGGACACGAGCGAGGGCTGGGGGGTTTGCAGGGAGGGGAGGGATGGGCGGGGTCAGAGGGGACAGGAGGGCGCAGGAGCCTGGGCTCCCCGTCACATGGGGAGTGTGCTGTCTGACGGCAATGCCTCTTCTGGCTGGCCCTGGGCGGGGGCGCCCGGGCGGGGGGGGCATGTCCCTGCCAGGAGAGAGACCCTGGCCGCTGGGTGGCATGCGGCAGCAGATAAGGCCTGATAACGGAGAGAAAAATAGCAACAGGTTCAGACTTTCCCACCGGCCAGGAGGAGGGCAGCTCAGGCCACGGCGGGGACAGGCCCCGCTCTCTGGGGGCCAGCGTGGGAGCCCAGGGTGACTGGGACCCAGCAGGACCTGGGGGCCCTGGCGGGGTAGAGCCCAACCTGTGGGCCAGGGTGGCGAGACCCCTGCGCTGCCACTTCCCAGGGCCCCACTAACAGAGGTGAAGCTCTTCAATAACCCTCTAGGAGGGAGGGACTGTGGCCCGGCCCACGTCCGACGGCTGAGGTGAGCCGGCCGATGTCCGACGGCTGAGGTGAGGCCAGTCAGTCCCTGCAGCTGAGTCAGGAGCTGGCCCCCAACCCTGCAGCTCCCACCACAGCCCAAGCCCCTGGGACCAGGTGACTTCCATGCACGATTCCAACAGGCAGCCCAGCTGATCTGAGTCCGAGGTGGATTTCAGGGGAATACGTAAGAAGGGGGAGGGCTGAGGAGGAATGGGGAGACGGAGAGGAGGCCAAGGTCAGGGGAGCGGGCAGAAGGACACACAGTGGCCCGATACTGACTCCAGGGCCGAGGGCCCAGCACCGTGGCCACATGCCCCAGAGTTGGCAAGGTCGTCTGTGCCCATCACTAGGGGCAGGGGTGCACACAGTAGGGCAGGGGATAGGAAGGGGTGTGGGCCACAGGCTGGGGGATGGGGGGCTATGAGCATATCGGTGGGGTCCTGGCTCCCAGGGGAGGTACAAAGGCCTGGGGGAGGGGTGCCTTGAACTGAGAACTTGGTTTGCACACTCTGCAGCAAAGCCGTTCAGAGACCGGACACTGGCCCTGGGCTCAGCCCTGGGAGGGGAGCAAGGCCATGGGGTGCGGAGGAAAGAGGCCCCATGTCCGGCACCCCTTGCTGCCCGCTGCCTCCCCATGGCCTCACACCCCATAGCACACTCCAGGCAGTGGGGCTCAGCCAGGGACGGAGGACTTGGCCTCCAGGGCAGCAGTGACCGGGTGTGAACCTGAGCGGTCCCTGGCACGTCCATGCCCTCTTCCTGCCACCCTCAAGGGCAGGACAGCCACCCCGCAGGGCTGTCGCAGCCGCAGAGCACTGCAGAAAGGACTACAGCGGAGCTGAGGAAGCCGTTCAGATGCAGGGACCCCAGTGGAGCTCAGAGGGGTCCCGGGGCCCCAGAGGCCAGGCCTGTGCGTGGGCCCTTCAGGCAGTGCTGTGGCCACCCCGGTCAGCCCGGGATTCCTCCTTGCCAGCAGTGGGGGACTACAAAGAGCATGTACTTGTCCGAGTGGGGCCCTGCACAGCAGCGGGCAGCCCTCCCCTCCCTGGCCCCAGCCTCCGCTGCACAAAGGGGCTCGGAGCACAGGAGGCTGGGCTGGGCAGCTTGACCGGCAGTGTCGGGCAGAGAACGCCTGCACGCACACTGGGGCAGGGAGCTCACCACTGCTGTCCCAGGAGCTTGCACTCGGACGCCCGACTCTCTGGCCTGGGGGGGTCACGCCCTCTCCCGTGCTCCACACCTGTCCCCACGCTTGGTCTACCTCTGCCGCCAAGCTGTGCACCCAGGAAGGCCGGGCCTCCGTGGTCCAGACTCACGCTCCAGCACGCATGCCAGGGAGGTGCTGCTGACAGCGACTGGCCGCTGTGAGCCAGGGTCCGGGGGGCTGCCAACTGCCTCACGGCACGCCCCGGCCATTCTAGGGGTGCCTAAAGAGGAGCTGACGGTCCGGGGTGGCCCCTAGCCTCTCCCATAGCAAAAGCCTGTCTTCTGTAACAATCAAGAGCCTTCCACATTTTTCACTGTAATTCACACACCATAACTCAGCCTTCTAAGTGCCTTTCCACTTTTAACGGTACCAGTGCTCGAGGGTGCAGAAGCAGGATGTGACCCAAATAAAACCCAGGGTCCCACAGGGCCCAGTCTCATGCAGAGAAACCCAGTCCAGCGACCCAAGCCTCTGCTTGTCTCTCTGCAAAGATGCTCAAGGGGCTGATTAAAATTTTAGCTGTGGGCCACATCAGGAAGCCCTGGTGGCGTAGTGCCTAAGGCATTTGACTACTAACCAGAAAGTTGACGGTTCAAACCCACCAGCCACTCCGCGGTAGGAAGACTGGTCATCCTACTTCCGTAAAGATTTACTGCCTCGGAAACCCAAAGGGGTCACTATGAGTGGGAACTGACTCAATGGCAGTGGGTTTGGTTTTGGTTTGGTGACCACATCCGTGGTCTTCCCCCATCCATTCTCCCGGACCCCAAACTGCCAGAGCCTCCCACTTTGGCCCCTAAACCAGCCACACACCCAGCCCATGGCTCCTTTGTCCTACACACCCCCCCAAAACCCCTTCCACCTCGTCGGTCTGTTCCCTCCACCATCGGTTGGCGTGCCCCTCGTGGAGGTACAGAAGCTGGGCTGATAAACAGCTCAGCTTAAGGGGTGTCTCAGGGAGCACCTCGGTGGCCAAGGACTAAAGAAAAAATTCTCTGTAATAGATGGCAGGGGGCCGTTGAGGGGACAAAGCCAGAGGATAGTTTCCCGTTGGTTGCCTGTTCCCGCCCGTTATACCACACGCTTCATTTAAGGACTGTGCTGGGGTAGGCACAGACCCCTGTCACCAAGAACGGTCCCATGTGACTGGTCCACCATGCGATCCTCAGCCTACATGACTATGAGACCAGGAGAACTAGATGGTGCCTGGCTACCACTGTCAACCACTCGGAGGGAAGGTCTATGTAGGAGACTCTGGATGGAGAGGGAGAATGTGGAACAAAACTCAAAATCATTTGGAAAAAAAAAATGGGCGACCAGGTTTGCTGGTCTGATAGAGCCTGGTGGACTATGGCCCCTAGCTGCCCTTCAGGTCTGGAATTGAACCCATACTTGTGGCTTCCAGCCAAACAAAAGACAGGCATATGAGCTGAACATTTACATTAGGTAGATACACTCCTTGGAGAGAACAATCATGGGAGGAAGAAGGGCTGCTTATACACAGGGGGACAGCTCAGGGGGCAGGAGTGCATGGAGGGAAGGACACAGGGAAGAGGAAACTATGGGGAGGAAGTGGGAGGGGAGCTGTTGCATTATGGGAAATTGCAGTCAATGTCACGAGACAAAGTGTATGTGAGCTGCTATATGGAAAGTGAATTTGCTCTGTAAACTTTCACCAAAATCACAATAAATTTTTTTTTTTAAAAAGAACAGACCCATGTCCCCAGCGGGGCCCCGTGGCCTGTCTGCTCAGCCCCTTCTGCCTTTGAGTTGGGAGCACCAAACTCCCCCTTCCCCTCACTGTGACCGTCCACGCCTCACCCCAGGTGCCACCTCCTTAGGGAAGCCCTCCCCAGCCCTCCCCTTGCCCACTGCGCACCCACATACAGCCTCCTGCCCGCATGCAGTGCTGTGCAGACTGACACGCTCACATGTGAGGGTTTGCTCACGGCTGTCTCCCCACTGGACTTGACCCTGTCGGCCTGTCCATTGCTGATCCCATCATCCTCTGCGCCTGCCTCCCATGGCTCCCCAGTTCACCCCAAGCAAAAGCCATGGGCCACAGAGCCCAGCAGGGCCTGGACCCCCACCTGGTCTCCCCTTCGCAGCCCCCCAGCCACACCAGGTCCCTCACTGCTCCGCCCTCGGCCTCGCTTGCCGTCTGCTTGGAACAGTCTGGCCCAGCACCCACTTGGCTCCCTCCTCCGCCTCCTTTGACCCTCTCAAACACCCCTTCCCGGTGGCCGTCCAGGCCACTCTGGCTACACTCTGAATCTCACGTGGCATTCCATGCCTCTCCATCTTCCTGGCGACAATACCTCCCTATCACGTCGATCACCGATCTCCCCGCAAGGAGGGGGCTCTGAGAGGGCAGGGACCAGTGCCGCTGTCCCCCGTTCCCTGCCGTATCCCCACGTCTACACAGTAGGACAGTATCCCCTAGCACACAGTGGTGTGAACACTTGGGGGCGGGGGATGGGAACAGGCCACTCATGGAGGACCTCACTCGGGTTGGGGTGTGGTTGGGTGTGGCCCCCCCCGCTCACAGAGGTGGGGACAGGGATGGAGACGTGGGGAGGTGGGCTCAGGTCTGAGCTGGAGGGTGACTGGATAGCTTGGGGATGCCCATGGAGAGGCAGCCCCACACCACCCTGGACAAGTGCTGGCCCTGCCCTGGGGTCTCGGGGCCTGAGTGGTGTGGGGCTTTAGGTTGGGAGGGATGAGATGTGGGGAGCTAGGGCACAGACAGTCGGGAGGGGGTCCCACACCCATATCCCAGCCCCCAGCCACAGCCACCTCCTCCTGTGGCCAGCCCAGTAACTGATGGTAGCACGGGGGGCTCCAGCACCAGGCACCACAGCCAGGCCCCGCCTCTGGGACTCAGTGGGGCACCTACCCCCCAGCATGGACGCCCAATGGCTCTGGCGGGACACTTCGAGAGCAGGGACTGGGAGCAGGATGGGGCTCTCCGCACTTGGCTGTCAGCCAACCGAGCCCTCATGGGAGCACGGCTACCTTCCCACTGCACGGATGGAGCTGAGGAGCAGAGGGGCGGCCTCCCCATCCAGGCCCCACCGCGCCTGTGCCCTTTGGAGGGATTCAGCCTGACTCCAAGGCCTGAGCCTTGCCTCTGCCGCACTGGGCCTCGGCCTCCCTTCCCGGCTGTCACCCAGGGACAGTTACGCCCTTGCTGATCCTTTTACCTTCCTCCCCCATGTCTCGGGGTGTCCCTGTCACTCCTCGTCCCTGGAGGGCTGCGTCTATCTCTCCACTGACCATCCATTACCTGATGACAAGGCTTGGGCTCTGTCAGCAACTTGTTGCATCCCCTCTGAGTCCTTCTCTATGTCCCTGGGCACAGCACTCAGGCCGCCCTCCCGGCAGGGGCTGTGGCTCCCTCTGATCCAGCCCCCAAAGACATACGTGCACAGCCCCGCGGACACGAGTGCGCGGCCCCACAGACACGCATGTGCAGCCCCGCGGATACTCATGCACACCCTTCAACAGTTTACAAAGCTCAGAGAAGAGCCTCATCACAAGTCTTGGGAGAACTGGCTCCACTGACAGATGGGAAAACGGAGGGGCCGCATGTCCGCACCCACCTACACACACTCTGGGGTGTGGCTGCACTAAGGCTGGGCTAGACCTCAGGGCGGATGAACTGGGCATGAGCTGCTGGGCCCGCTGGCAGCCCCAACCTCTGGCACCTGCCCAGACTTGGATCTGCTCGCCTGGTAGAGGGACACAGGGCTCTACAAGGGCCGACCCACAGGCAGGGGCCTACCCAGTGAGGCTTCCTGAGGCACCGGCACAAGCTGGCGGGCGGGGGGGTGCACTGCCAGCACAGGCAAAAAGGGCGAGGAGGGCAGGTCACGAGGGCTTCCTGGAGGAGGCGGCCTCTAAGCAGGAGCCGAGGGAAGAGCACTCCAGCTGAGGGAACAGCCAGTGCAAAGTCCCTGAGGTGGGAGGGATCTTGGTGTGTTCTGGGGATGGAAGAAGGCTGCCGCCGCCACCAGAGGCCGTGGGAGTGGATGGCCAGGCCTTGGATGGAGCAAAGGGCATGCAACAGAGAGCAGGGGATTACTGCCACTGCCTCCAGGCAGCCCTCCAGCCCTGGCCAGCTCTGGGCTCACAGGACCCTCCTCCTGCCCTGAGCCTGGCCCTCTCCCGGGCCAGGGCCACTGTCCAGTTCCCCACCCCGCCTGATCTCAGGGGCCGCTGGGCGGCAGGGCAGAGAGAAAGGGAGGCGGTGGAGGAGGAGGAGGGCAGGGCCTGAGAACGGCCGCGGCCTGCGGATGGGGGAGATTGGTTTCAGCCGGAGCGACGGCCTGCCAAGTCCACATCCCCTCGCGGCCGGGTGACTCCACATTCATCACTGAGCTCAGAAACTTTATCAACGCGCACAGTTGGCGCCATCTCCGTGCCCGGCCACTCCCGGCCTCCGATGGGCCCGATAGCTGCTGATAGATTACTCAAGATGGTTTCACTCCCAGGACTGCTCGAGGCTGCGCGGGGAGGCGGGGGAGGGGCAGGGGCGCCCGGCCCCGCTGGGGCTAAGGGTGGGGAGCACAGGGAGGGTGGTCGAGGCCGTGGCCCAGGGTCGGGGGTAAGGAAAGCGTGCCTGGGAAGAGGGGCAGATGGGGCACAGGGCTGGCAGATGGAACCGGGCATCCTGAGGGCGGGGGTGGGGCCACCTAGTGACAGGCTCTGTCGGACTGGTGGGTGGTGGGCCTGGAGCTGAGATCTGTCTCATCTCTGGGTGGGGGGAGAGGGGCACCCTGGAACGGGCTGCTTGTCCCCCACTTTCAGAAAAGCTAAGAGGCCCCGAAAGCCCCCTCTGCAGCTGACCCAGACTGTGTCTTGGGATTGAGTTGAATTGAATTTGGGGTGGGCTACTTGCATGTGCTTTTGCAGGTGAGGTTCATGGGGTACCCGGGGGTTCCACCGGCCTGGGGGGTGGTTCCTGTGCCCAGACTGGTGGCCACTACCCCAGACATCCAGGGGTGCCATTTATGGAAAGAGGGAGCAGTCATACCCTTTGGGGTGTCCTCTTTCCCTGGCAGGTGTGGCTGGTGTCACAGCAAATACATCCTACCTCCACCGCATAGATGGAGAAACTGAGGCACAGAGAGGGAGTAGTCTTCCCGGACCCCAGCCTCCCGGTCCAATGTGCCTCACACCCCTCTGGGACGGGGTCCACACCCAGCAT